CATATAAGTATACAAAGAAAGAAAAATTCAGTAAACGTGTAATTATAAACCATTAGGAACAAAGACACAGAGCATAATAGAAAAGAAATAAAATATAAAACCAAAGAGTTAAATAAAGACTATGTAATCTTTAATTGGAATTGGAAATATAAACTCCAGATTTTTTCCCCTTTATAAAATAATACAAATTATTATTATTTCTAGTAGCTCTATTCATTTAAGACTTAGTAGCAATGACAAGTCAGTAGCAATGAGTAGGCCCAATGAGTGCCCAGACTGGGAATTAATCTGGGCTCAAAGGAACCAGTGCCAGGGGTCCTTGAAGAAATTGCTGATTCTGGGTTAGGGGTAGGAAATGTTAAAGATTAGCCTAGGACATCTTGTCATGTCAGAAAGGACAGAATTTATAAAAAAGCTAATGGGATCATGTCAATAGTCACAAGTACCAACTTGAAGGGACTCCTACTGGTTTAAGATGGCACGATTTCAGCAATAAAAAGTAGTGATTTATCAAATTTATCAAAATTTAAGTGGTCAAAATGATACAAAAAAAGAATTTCACTGGAGGTTGCCAGGGCACAAAAACTATATTCTGACAAAAGATAAGTACAGGGAAATATTCAAGTATTTATCATGCCTATTCTTTATGAACTGCTTTTTCAGGGTAGCCAAATTTTTATGAAGAGTTTTGTTTGTTTTAAAATGTCAACTAATAAACACAGAAAAAATAATAAAATTAGAAAATTGCTATTTTATCATCTGTAGTGAAATAATAGACTTAGGCAATGAGCATTAATTAATGTTAAAATCCTTACATCAAAAATTAATGGGGGCTCTCTCTCTCTCTGCTTCCACCATCTTGCAATGTGATACCCTGTCATCACTGTCACCACCACTTAGACCTTTACCAGCTGTGTTCCCTGGACTTTGGACTTCCATGCCTCAGAAACTATAAGCAATAAATTTGGTTTTCTTTATAAATCACCCAGTTTCAGAAAAATTGCAAGAGCGGGCGGCTCCAGGACCTGGGTACGACGTGCCTGCTGCTCTTTCACTCGGTGGAAACCGAGGCCGAAGAGGACAAGGCGAGGACCTTTGTGCTGTAGGTAGGGCGGAGCCCTGGAGGGCAGGTCGGTCGCCCCCCCACACTTGCCCCCGAAATGCATAATGTGAGGGGCAGAAGAGCCGTGTCTGGAAGGAATGGTGATCCCGTAGTCATAGAGATAGGTTGGGATCACAACGGAGGTTTGGTACCCCCAAGCCTGAGATATGTGCGGAAAGCCACCTTTCTTTGTTTTGAAATGAAATGTATGTACCGGAATGAATGAATATAAAAAATAATATAAAATAAATACTGTATGCCGATAATGTCTATAAGAAGGATAAAGCCTTCCCTGATGAGACATTGTGTTCACAAGTGGACACGCAGAGATTTGCCAAAAAAAGAGATTCTCTTCCTCCTGTGGCCAAGACCTGTCAAAATAAATAGGCAAAAGGGAGTTCTTAGAATAAAAAAGAGAAAAAACTAATGTTTTAAAAAGTTTTTCATTGAGGGCCGTCCCGTGGCTCACTTGAGAGAGCGTGGTGCTGACAACACCAAGTCAAGGGTTAAGATCCTCTTACCGGTCATCTTTTAAAAAATAAATAAATAAGTTTTTTATTGTAAAAAAATCTTAAACATAGAACAGTATAATAAACTTTCAGAAATTATTAACAGTTTTCAATATTGTTTCATATATCCCTACCGCCTCCCCTAAACATTATTTTCTTTGCTGGAATATTTTAAAGCAAAGAGGGATTGTGTCAATCACCCTTTAAGTATTCATCTTAGATTGATAAGGACTTAAAAGAAAAAAAAAAACACAGACATTTTAGTAAGCTGTTTTTGAGATATTTAAGGTTATTGAATTTAAGGTTTGACAGGTTTACCCTGGACTACTTTTAGGTAAGGAAAATTCATTATTTCCCAGAAAACCCTTTCCCCACCTAAAAATCAGGAAAAAATATGATTGGGTTGGCTCAATGAACCTGGAGTAGGAAGGAGAAGGGGGGTTCCTATTCTGCAAGATTTAGTAATCCTAGAGTGTTTGTTTTGTTTTTTGTTTTTTTCTTAAACTTCCCTTTCAAGAAGGAAAATGGGTCAGCCCTTTGTAACAGATTATCATTGTAAATCACAATCTGCAGATATGTTGGACATTCTGCCCGTATTTACTCTTGCCCTCATTTTCTTGCCCATAATGTGTAAATCTGAATGGATTAGAAACCTAAATACGTAGAAGGAAACCTCGTAGTTTATAATCAGGGGCCACAGGTTTGGACTGAGCTGCAATAGGCCCAATAGACCAAGCCAGAAAGGAGTTGTTCATGCTGAAGTTCCATACCACCAAGCCATAACTAAGTTGTTTATCTGACCTTAGAAATCAGGAGAGAGAGAGGTAACAACCAAATCCCCAAATAGGCCAGTTTTAGCTAGCAGGATAAGCAAGTCCCCTCTACATTAACTTTTAGAAGGAAGGTAACTTTGAAACAACTAATCTGCTTTTGTTCTCTGTTTCTGCTTTCCTCAGCCCTTTTCTGTCTATAAAGCTAACCTCCTCTGCCCTGCTCATTAGACATTTATTCTATTTTATAGAGTGAGGTGTTGCCCGATTCTAGAATTTTTTATAAAAGCCAATTAACATTTTTAAACTAAACTTATTGTAGTTTTGTCTTTTCACAGTTCTGGTGACCTACAAAGGGACCAAAAGGACACTGCTGACAATTCCTGAGACCCCTTGAGGAACTTAGGAGAGGGGAATTTGACTCCTTTTGAGGTTCCCCTGTCTTTCTCATGGAGCCCCATGGGTTGTAAGTAAGTTCCTCTCTGGTGGGACTCTGCTCTTTTTGCATTGAGCCCCCACCCATCTTTTTGGTATTCAAATCCAGGGTTAGTTTGTGCTGTGAGAGAGCGTATGACCTTGTGGGTACCAAGGGTTAGTTTGTTCTGTGGGAGAGCATGTGACCTTTTGGGGTTTGCAGAGGCTGAGGAAATATTAACAAGAGCTGCAGTTTTAACAGTAACTGACAGCATTTGCAGTAAGTAGTTATTATTAAAGGCACATGAACTCCAGCTTTCAGAATTCACAGGAATTTGGCCTATATCCTCTCAGTTTGTTTTTCATGCACTCTTAGGAAGGGAAAAATCATTGGCAAAGTCGGTCAAGGGGATCTCAGAGCCAAAACCACAACTTGGTGGGCACAATTAGGGCACATAAGAGCTGGTAGAGTGCTCACCACCAAAAAGTAAGACTCCCATGTTAGGATAAGGTGGACACTGGATGGGGTAGCGCCTGCCAGCCTCAAGAAAGTGTGCAACAAGATAAACTGTGAAAGCATTACAAAGCCCAACCCCCTGGCATTTCCCTCTCAGGCTTTTATCTCACCTCTAAGAGACCCGAGATATATAAAAAAAAAAGGATCCTGGGGCTGGCCCGGTGGCGCACTGCTACAGTGCGCCGCTTGAGAGCGCAGCGGCGCTCCCGCCGAGGGTTCGGATCCCACATACAGACCGGCGGCTCACTGGTTGAGCGAGGTGCAGGCGCAACACTGAGGGTTGCGATCCCGTTGCCGGTCCTGTCCGGTCCGGGCGCGACACTGAGGGTTGCGATCCGTTGCCAGTCACGAAAAAAGACAAAAAGGAAAAAAAAAAAAAAAGGATCCTTAATTTCTAAAGAACTGAGTACTCCACTTTCCAGCTATGCCTGCCTTTTACTTGTGTAAGTATTAGGCCCCTGAAGCTGCAAGTACTTAGAAAAATGGGGAAATCTTAGTACAGGTTATTTTAAATTACAGTGGCCATTATGTAGAATGTTCCAGATGAACAACACTGCACTGTAAGAAATGCAGTTAAAAGTAAGCTCCTGAATTAGGCCCACCCAGGAATGTGTAAATCTGAATATGCAGAAGCTTCTAAAAATATTTCCCAATTTTTTATTGCCTCTTTTAAAAAGACACTTTACAAAAGGCAAATGAAAAGCTTAAGCAACCAATTGATAAGAAAAATTGAATCTGCCAACCTTTTCACTTGGTTATTATTCCACCTTAAGGTGGAAAAGAAGAGCTGGATAAAGTGTTTATAGAAGTTAGGCCCCCAGGTTAAACAGGTTTGCTTCTTTTTCAGAGATATCCATGCTGAGTCTAGGCATAGAAAATTCTTTGTCTGCCCTGTTTGTTAGTGGGCTCCTCCCTGAACTCAGTGATCCAGTTAAAAAACAAGCTAAATGAAAAAGCCAACTATCTAAGTAAATTGTTCTCCAAAATACACCTTGCTGGAATTCAGCTGGTTATTTTGAACAGGCTTTTGAATTTTCTCCTACGCTTATTTGTGTACTTCCTTGTAAAACCCAATAGTGAATACCTGTTATTTTTTTTGCTTTGGCATTCATTTTGAATCCTTCTGTGTCTCACCTGACACACCCAGATCTAATTCTCCTCTGAGTCAGGGCTCTCCTACAGAGTAGCTATCTCAATAGAACCGTCAATGAAGGGCTAGAGTTTATAGCTTTCTTCAGAGAGAAACTTCAAGCCCAAGTCAGAGGAAAAGCATCAAATCCAGTTTTAGCAGAAATGAATCTTATCCAACCAGACGAGCTTTATTCAGACCTAAAGTTCACAGCCTCTATAAAATTGACCTCTAATAATAGGCAACATGCCCTAACCTCTTTCTTGGAAAAAACTTGCACAGATGCCTTTGAGATATAAATTTTCCTCCTAAGTGTCATCCCTTTGGAAGTACAAGTTTAGGGTTGTCTAGCTAATAATTGCTTAAGGGAATGGAACAGGTAATTGAAAGATTGGTAGTCTAAAAGGGGGAGAGAAACTATTTGGAAACTGGCAAATGAAAAATCTTCACGAAAGCAGTAAAAATCTGCTTCTGTCTGTATGTCTATGCATGTGTATATGTTATATGTATGTGATTTTTTTTTTAAATGACCAGTAAGGGGATCTTAACCCTTGACTTGTTGTCAGCACCACGCTCTCCCAAGTGAGCTAACCAGCCATCCCTATATAAGGATCCGAACTCATGGCCTTGGTGTTATCAGCACCACACCTCCCAAGTGAGCCACGGGATGGCCCCCAATATGTATGTGATATTTTTTTCCTCCAGATAATGTTGCCAAAATATATAAAAGAGCTCTACTTAGTTGGTTTAAAGAAAAAATAAGCACTTATATTATCTCAGAAAAATAGAAACCCATGAGTTGGGTGAGTCGTTGGTAAACAAACTAGTTTTTAAATTGTTGGTAAAATAAAATAGAAACATCTTCAGAATTGTCAACATTAAATATATACATACATTTTTGCCCAGATTTGCTGGTCAGCAGACAGGTTTGTGTTGTCTCTGCTAGATGTTTAAGGTCATAAAACTATAAATCCAACCTAAGAGCAGAATGCACTGTGAAAACAAATTGCTAATTGCTTGATGTATGTCCGTTGTGAGGGAAAAAAGAGAGAGGGAAGAACCATGTTCAACTTTTTAGTTTCTTTGCTTCTGTGATATTTTTGACCATCACCCAGCTGGACAGACAAGAAGGCCAAAGGCAATTTTACTAGTCTGTCTGCTGGTTGTGATATTTTTGATACTTGCCTGATTTGTTGATGAGAAAAAAAAAAAAAAAAGACTTATGATGATGGCTAGCCTTGTTTTCCATAACCAATTCAAACACAATTGTTAAGAAGAACTAAATTAGGTGAATGTTAATAGGATAAACATTTTATAAGTTATCTTTCATAGTTTCAAAATTCTTGGGGCTAGTCCATTAGCCCAGTTAGTTAGAGCATGGGGTTTTAACACCAAATTCAAGGGTTCAGATCCCCATACCAGCCAGTCAGAAAAAGAAAAAAAAAAATTCTTTTTCAGTAACTTAAAATTTTAATGTCATGTTATGTTAAATTAACTAATAAGTATTCATGAAATATCTGACTCATTTCTAAGTAAGTTAAAATACTGAAACATTAATTAGTGAATATAAATTTAAGGTATGTGTATTTTGGCATCCTGTTTTTTTATGGTGTAGAGAAACTAAATATATTTGGGTCTGTTAATAAACATGAAAAAGTTGTGTTATAACATGAAAAAATGTTTCTAAAAATTATGAGGTGATTCTCATCTACAAAATGCTGATAA